AAAGTATCTATCTAGTCCCAATGAATTAATTTTTTGGGCTGTTTTTAATAAACTTCTTCCATTTCCTGATGTTAGCTCCTCCAGGTAGTTCTTTTGCTTTAGGACATCTCAAACAAGTTTCCCATGTGCTTTCTGAAAGTGCAGTTTAGCTAGTATTTTCTGCGATTTTTTTAACAGCCTTTGGTGACATTAGGCTAAAGTTAAATGTGTGAAATGAGTTTAAGCCAAGGTATTTATTTTGATGTATTGCTTTACCGTAGACACCCATACCAACTGAGTCATCACTGTTTGATATGACTATGCAGTTTAAGAAAGCTGAAGGTTACTGTCTAATATCGAAACGGATTAACTGAGAAACTCTACTACATTACTGAACTGAATCACTTTTCAAAATCTAAGTAGCTGGCGTTGGATTCACTCTCACTATCAATTAGTGATTAGTTACTATCCATTTAGCTCAAGGAATCTGCCTTTATACACAAATATATAGGCTTGTATTAAGATAAAAATCTTCCCATCTCTGAAGAGCTCCAAGCTTAATATCTTGATCCTACCAGTATGTCAGCACATTTATCTCTGTTGGAACTTGTCCCTCCGTAAAGCATCTAATGATGTCCACTTGTGCATTACTTTTACTTGTTTCAGAAACCGACTTATGATGTTATGCACTGCTCAATCCAATCCTTGTTTCTTTTGAATTCTGGTTCACAAAGAAACGGCCTCCTTTTCTTGGAATGTTTGACAGGAAAGGTAGTTAGTAAACGTGCTAACTAAATCCCAAGCTCATTAGTTAGCAGCGGGAAACATATGTTAGTGATGAGATATGTTACTACGGTTTTACTATTAAAAGACGAATTGCCGTCTTATATAAGTTATCTTAATGCTGAAGAATAAAATATTAAATCCGCAGGACGTAGTGTACTACGCTGCACCATTGTGCACCTTGAAGAAGTGAAAATAATTCACTGGTATTTTTGGTAGTCGTTTTTGCCACTTATTAAAAAAACGTCTTGTCTAATCTTTTTAGGTATCACAATGGAATTTAACAGTAGAATATCGTATTTCAAGTTACTAGTCTTTCAAAAAGCCATGTTTCTATTTTAACTTAAAGTTAATATCATTTGTGAAGCCTCAGTTCAGACACATGTTGATAACAGTGAAAGCATATCTTAGCCTCAATTTTGTTATTTGACATTCCCTGAAGTATAAAACACAGGCAAGATGAGAAAAAGAACAAATTCATTTCGTATCCATTTAAGTATTTTTGTGACTAGTGAACTTCTCTTAAGCTTGACAAATTATTTCTACCACCTAAAGTAAGATGTATATTTACTTCTCCTTGAAAGTCAATCATATTATTAAAAATCCTAGAAATATTTTTGATCTCCTGGTAGTACATACTACATAACGATTTGCACGTTTAAAAAGTTTACAAGGTTACTACACATCCGCTTACTTGTTGTTAAACAATGTCTCTCGTCATTCCGGTAGTAGGAATACTTCTTTTCACATGGCACTTTTACGTTTTCTTCAGTATAATAAACGAAATAGTGAACATATTTTTCAACCCAACAGTTGTTCCTTGAAGACGAAATAAAAGCATGAAACACCGATGAAATTCATCCTGACAACTATTATCAGGCAGTATGCTGGAATACAGTAGAGCCCAATTTCATTTTGATTTGATTGGATGACACGGTTCAAACATGACAGACAAACTTCGATGGATACTGAAGACCAGATGAGGTATTCAGATTCAGAAAATGTGGGCACGCTACACGATTCCTTCTCTGAATAAATTTAATTGGGATGAGAACAACAGTTTTCCTCGTTAGGCTTCAAAGTGAACGTAGTTGGATATACTGGCTTGTTCAAATTTTGTAGAACTCATCATCTGAATGACATACATATAATACATATAACGGGGATATGAACACAGATATCAACTGGTAAACATAACGATGTGTAGCATAATGATTTATTAGTTTTCAAGCTAAGGCTGAGGCCTGTCTTTTGCTTGGTAGACAATAGTGAGTCCGAATGTATACTGTGTTTAATTAGTGACAGAAATGAGAAGTCGTAACAGAATTGTACTATTCCATTTCCCTGTGTATGATAGTGTAATATGACCGTTTCACAGTCGTATGAACGATACCCATTTGATTTGAAATTTTAAAAAATTGATCTGCAATCAGAACTCTTTTCAAAACTTCTCATCATAGCTGTACAGTTAGTTGTATACTAGTTAGAAAATCTCTTGAATAGTGGCAACAAGGGTCAAAAGTTAAGGTCAGTTAGTGACAAAATGCATTAAACCGTGGAACAAAAATTTAAAAAAAGTATGCATGAAAGATACCAAATCAATCTCACGGAATAATCATATAATAATGAATAGAACTCAGAAGTACTTGTCCTTCTACCAAGAAAGAAAGGGGGAATAGAAACACTATATAGAAAATAAAAAGTATTTCAATCAATACAGACTGGCTGTAACAAAAGGAATGGAAGTAGATTGGAAGGAAAATTACTGAGCGAAATCTTCCCTATCAATATTCAGAACCTTTTCTTGAACTTGTCACTGCAAAGCATACCACTGAAACTGCTTAGCATGTCTTGTCGAGGTGTTTGCTTTGTTTGTTGAACCATATCTTTCCCTGTTAACGGCCTTCATGTAGCTGCAAAAACACATGTTCACATTCTTTCGTAATATGATATTTAAACGTTTTCAGACTGTAAGCAACTGATAAAAAGCTGATAAACAAAATGGTACTGTAGTACAGTATTATTATTCTGCTCCAATCGTTGTTCTTCCACTATTCAAGTTTATAAAAGGGAATTGGTGAATTAAAGTCAAAGAGCTACGAAACTTAGCCATGGTAGCAAAACAAGCTGAACAGCAGGACTATGTACACAGAATTCAGGGTTCTCTTTTTGATTAGCCAAAGCGTCTACTGAACAAAAAATGTCACCGAAATCCTTTTTAAGGACTCGGTGTCACCCGATACATCAAATGAGTTATGTACAAATATTTCGTAACCTGACAGAACAATAGATTTAAAAGTAGAACTGCTCATCTGTTTGGATTGTTTTCAAGAGCCATATCTACAAGTGTTCGTGAGAACATCTTGACAGTTTCCTACTAGTACGGCCTATTTACCTGGCTCCACAGGAGTTAGCAAATATATATTTATGCACACATGGATGTTGACAACAGCAGAACCTTCCGTTTACGTTTTGATGAATGAAAACTTGTGTGAAGAACTTCTTTCAATAAGCAAGCTTGTGGAAAAATAGTGTTAAGTTGCATGGAACATCAAGCTTATTTTCACTACATTTATCAATAAATGAGGTTGGGTATCTGTTCTGAACTGGAGTTCTCTAAAGAATCCCAGTCATCTGTTAAGTGCATCTTCCATACATATATCATAAATTCGTGTCGAAAAACAGGTAATCATATTCTTTTTTTGCTGATATGGACAAAATTGTAAACCTTTACCAACTAGCTGTAAAATTTGAAATGAGCCGTCACTTTTCCGTGATATTTGAACATCGAGATAGTTAAGTTTGCATTTGGACTTGACTTAAGGCGTCAAAATAACTGATCTCCAGAAATTTATTAAACTGGTAGGTAAATGAATGATTCGATTCTAGGTAAACCATGAAACAATTATCAAGTAAGTGATAAAATGGAGACTACACTGTGTTTCTTTTTCAGACAATACTGCGTATTTCGATATGATTTAATTTCTACATGTGCTTTTAAAACTTTACTGAATCTCTAGTTACTCCCGATTCCTCAGATGACATTCGATTATCTTCATCTATTGTACCCTCTGTACGATTACTTTGGATTTCGGTGAATGTGTTTTACTAAACCCTACAGTAATTTAGTTACTCCCCTACCCAGGACAGCTTTTTAAGGGACGATGATCTTATCTTCGTGAATATGGCAAACAGCTGCTATAAGTTAAGCTGATATTATCTTTCGCGGCATTGGATCTCTTGAATAGACTTGTTGCCTCTTTCTTCTTTCCACATTACTGTAGTATCATCAACATTTCTCCAATAAATAGGGATCTTACTGATAAGACAGGTAATCGATCCCTCCATATGTGACATGTAAGTGTCAGATAAAAGTGGTTCAAAGAGTCTCCCGCTACAACTCCACAAACTTGCCGAAGATGTTCATTTTCAAATATGAAATACAAATTATCGACGTGCAGTAATCATAACCCTTCCATACAAAACACATGGAATAACGGTAAACTGCAGAGTGCATAGACAAACAAAATAGTAGTGATTATAGTTAAGTGCATGTTGGTCATTAAAGAGCCAATATCAACAGAATGCGTAGTTTTGTCTTGATGGTCATGACATTAGGATAACCAGTAATTGCAAATGAATATTTGGAAAGAAAATTAGACATTTCATAGTAAATTGACTGGTTTTACCATTTTCACCAATACCATAAGAAGATTAAAT